CCACGCGCGCCCGGGGCAGCCCCGCCCCCCTCCCCCTCAGCGTGGGGCTGCGTGTGGTGGGGGAGGGGAGGGGCGGGGCCCCCGCGGGCCGGGACCTGGTCTGCGCCAGGCGCGGGGGGGAGCGCAGGCTGCGCTGCGCTGCGCTGAAGCTGGCGATGCTGAAGTGAGGTTCAGCTCCGGAAACCTTGTGGTAGATCCATCCATCGATCTATCAGTCCATCTTATGCATCGATCAATCGACCTACCATCGATCTATTTATCCATCCATCAATTAATCGATCTATCTGTCCATCCATCTATCCATTGATTTATCAATCGATCTATCCATCTATCGATTAATCTATCAATCAATCTATCCATGTATCATCCATCAATTGATCTATCGATCTATCCATCCATCGATCAGTCGATCTATCTAGCCATCTATCGATTGATCTATCCATCCATCTATCCATCTATTTATCCATCTATCCATCCATGGATCAGTCGATTGATCTATCTTTCTATCCATCCATCCATCTATCCGTCCATCGATCAGTCGATCTATCCTTCCATCCATCCATATCTCACAAAATCTTCCTTTCAAGGTTTGCTTTAGTTGAGGGTTGCAAGGGGCTGTATCAGGTGAATATGGAGGCTGCGGCACTTGTGGGATACGGTGCAACTTTTTTCTCTTTCCTCAACTGAAGAAAACCTGGAAAGGAGGAAGATTTTGTGATGTGGAAACCATAACACAAAATGCGACTGAGCAGCTTTTAGCCATTCCACCAACTGCTCATCAGAGGCGCTCCCAACAATGGCAGAAGCACTGGGAGAAGCGTGCGGCTGCAGGCAGAGTGTACTTTACCCCTGTAAATAAAATATTTTTTTTTACTACAGCATCAGTCTTGATACTTTTTGAACCACCCGCGTATATCAGCTCCTGAGTGTGCGCTCAGTCCTTACTTGGCCTGTAATGTGTAAACCTGCCCTGCCTTCTCTTTTTATGACCAGGCTGGAGTATGTTAGGCTGTAAAAAGAAAAGAGTAAGCTTGCCCGGGCTATTTCACAAATCCTAGAGAAGTGGAAGGCACCTCCGGAGGTCATGCACTCAACCCCGGCGGGGCCTGCGGCAGGACTGTCCCTGCCCAAACCATCCGACAGAATCCATATTTCAGGAGCGACAGACTTGGTTCAGGGGCTGGGGAATAGACAGCTGAGGGAACTGGGCTGATTTAGTCCAGAGGGGTTTCATAACAGCCTCTGATTCTCTGAAGCAGGGTTTGAAAGAGGATGGAGCTGGACCATTCTCAGCGGTGGCAGATGGCAACAAGGAGCATTGGTCTCAAGTTGCAGCAAGGGAAGTTTAGGTTGGATATTAGGAAAACCTCTCTCATGAGGACGGTGAGATTGGACTGGACCAGGTCAATTAGAGAGGTGGTGGAATCTCCATCCTTGGAGGTTTTGAACACCCGGGTAGATAAAACCTTGGCTGGGATGATATAATTGGGGATGGTCCTACTTTGAGCAAGGGGCTGGACTAGATGACCTCCTGAGGTCCCTGCCAACCCTAATTTTCCATGATTCTTCCTGAAATAGGAAATGGCTCCATCCTCTATAACTGGGCAGGGGTTCGGGGTGCCGACAACCAGTTTGATTGTGATTTGAACATCTTGTCTCACAGCAAACCCCCAACCTGGCAGACAAGTCCACTGTCCCACATGAAATGTCTGGAAAGTATCCGAAGGAACACATTGCTGCCGAACAATCTGACCAATCTCAGCTAATCTGCATGAATTGCCATTGAAGGCCTGTGTGGAAATGACCGCCCTGTGCCTGTTCTGATGCAATTCCACCCTCCGATTAAACTGGTCATCGGGTTTTAGCCTCAGCAATGCTGCTCTACAGTCTGGTCCCTTGTTATGACTTAACCCGCCAGGGTGGGAGAATCCCAAAGGAGCATCACATCACTTGAATGTGCACTAAACGTGAGAACAAGCAGTAAATTCCAGCAGCATTTCAGCATCAGGGAATTTGGTCCTCACCCAACAAGGCACAAATCAGTAACTTGCAAGCCTAGTGCCTGGACGAATCCCAGTCCATCTAATCAGCTGAAGATAACTCTCAAGGGCAAAGCTGTAGATTTTTTCCCCCTTTAAAGCCCATCCTAGCCATCCAATTAACCCCCCTTTGCTGTTTTTGGCGCTCGCAAATCCTCATGCTGCAAGCATTTTATGGTACAGGGGATGGAAATATTTCGTATCTTAGACTATGTTCCTGCTGAAATAGTCCAGGCAAGCTAATTATTTTCTCCTTGCAGCTTCCAGTTTTCGATACCAAGAAATAGAGCATAGCTGATTGCATGATAAAATATAAACAACACATTTCCAACAAATCTGTTACATACATGAATCACTGAAGATTATGCTATCCTTGCCAGGAGCCTTGAAACCTATACTATAAATTGCTAACATCATTTCCAAACCTTTATGAAGTGCAACATGTGTATTTTTAATACTGAAATGACTGTATAGCTCACTACCGTTCCCTCCTAGATACATTCAAACAACAGAAATAGTAGTCTGACATTTTCTAAAACAAAAACAAAGGGCATCCGGAACACACAAGTATTAACTTCCCATCCTGTATCTGAGTGGGGTAATATTCATATTTCTTGCTTTCTAACACTACGAATTAACAGCAATAATAAAAATTGGTTCCTTTTACTATTTCGCTTCAAGTTTTATACCCAGCTGTTGTTTGTTTTTGTTTTCTTTTGAAACAAGCTTAGGTCTCGAGAGGCCCAAATAATTGCCAACCTCATCTGTCCTTCAGGCTGATTTGAACATTACATTGTATGGTTCCCCCTCCTCCTTCACTTGAGGTTCTCGCAGTACCTGCTGGACTCCAAGAGCCCTCTCCGTGTACATATTCCTAAAAACTAACCAAGAAAGAACATTTCTTGGGTGCATGTATCCACTTCAAGGATTTTAACCATGATACTTGTATAAGTGCTACACTGGTGCAGATTTTTTTGCTGTGCATAGCAGTGCACATACAAATGCTAACCCAGCTGGGGCACAAGCGTTTTTCAGTGCAAGGACTGCTTACCGGCCGGCTAGCCCCACATTTTAGCACCTTCATGCCCCAGCAACCCCCTCTGCAGCACACTGAACCTTGTCAAAGGATCCCTGGGCTGGCAGGCTGACCCCCTGGGGCCTTGCCAGCTGGGGCTGCTGCGACCCAACTTAATGTGCCGTGGTCCAGGCACATGCATTAACAGCGCGCCCAGGAGCTTCCCAGGAGCAATAAACTGTGGAGCAATAAGCTCTGCAGTTTATCGCTGCACACTAATGGCATGTGTATATATGCCCTGTATGTAAGAAACCACATTGTACTATAATCCTAAAAATCCTAAAATAAAACTAAATAAAAATAATCCTGCACTGTTTGTGTAAGTATATAAAACATAAGCATTAACTTTGTGCATACCCATAAATGAATGTCCTCAGCAGAGCTTGCATGTTTTCTTTGCCAGAGAACTCTGAAATGGCCTTTCCTGAACACATTACTTGGCCTTCATATGGTCATGTGCCTTCTGCTTATTCATATGGTCTGGCTTTCCCATACCACGATGTAGGGCTCAGTTTTACCATCCATCCAGCTTAGAGATGATAGTTCAAGTCATGAGATTATGAAGAGAGAGGGTGGGGAGGAAATGTAGAAAAAGGAAGGCAAGAGCAGAATTCTGTGGGTTCCACCCTAAAAATAGGAATGGGGAAGGAATGAAATACTGGACTAGAAATTAAAGAGGTAGAAGGGAAATCAGGACAGAATGGTATCATAAAAGAAGGGCCAGGAAAAGTAAGACCACAAACAAGGGTAACAATATTGAAGGTAGTCAGCAGGGCAAAGAGGGTGAGGAGGGAGTCTTTGACCAGGAAGAGACATGGTAAATGGCACTTTCAGTCAAGGGAGGAGGGTCAGGTATGTTGAAGAGTTAGTAGAGCGTCGGGTGTTTTTAAGATGGAAGGGATCTATTGGCTTCATTGTGTTACATCCTCAGATACATGAGCAAAAAATTAAAAATCATTGAAAATCTTATATCAATTTTTCTTTATGTTTTTAAGTAGAAAAAAAACTGGAGAAAGAAATATATTTCCATAAGGACAGAAAGGGAAGCTTCTCATCACAATTGTTCCTTACTCCTTAAAAGTATTTAGAGTTTCTGAAAATATTAAATGGATTGAAGACCCCGCAGAGGTCATTTAGGGTATTTTGAAACACTCCTTTACCTTGTAAGTTGTGGATCAAAAAATAACCATATTGGCAGATAGCAAACTGATTAATTCACCTAGGGGAACATTTCCTACTATGGCTTAATTTGCCATTGTCTTAACTTCCTGGCAGCCTCCTTACCTGCCACCCAGTTATCAACTGCTGATAACTACCAACTAATTCTCCATTATTTGCATTCCCCTTGAAGTGGTTAATTAACCAAGCATTTATTGTAAGTATGTTAGGGCCTTTTCTAACTCTATCTGGAGTTCAGTAGAAACAAGGCCCAAGCCTTAATACTAATTCTAATATAAACTGAATGTCACTATTTTGAATATAAAATGCCACTCCTTTATTTAAATTAATAAAAAATGTTAACTATCTCAGATGATTCTAAGTATATTTCAGTTTTATTCCCATTTATCTTTCCTATTGTGAACAGTACAGTAACCTAACAAAGAGAAAGGGTATCTATACATGCAGTCTGTCCCACCTAGCAAAGCGG